ACCTCTGAACTGCCTAACAATAAGATGTTAAATATATTTGGAAGTAAATATTATTAGCAAGTAAATATTGTTAGTATCATAAGCGAACAGTTCTGTTTAAAAAAGAAGCAAAATCTTTTATTATTTGGAAAAAAATTGCTTGGACGAATGTACACAGCTATCGACACTTTTTACATGAAGAAAAGAACTTTGATAAGATATGAAAATATTAAGCTAAATCTTTTTGACCTCTTGCAAGTAATAACCTCTTTGTTTCAATAATGCTCTATTCTCGTAATCTACATGCACACCCACAATTTTAGTTCAAGAATACATTAAAATGCATTTTTATCACATAACGGTGAAAAGGGGATTTGGAGCCAAGAGAACTACTCATATTAAATAAAGTGGGACAGTAAATGTGGATTAAAATTTTTTATATCTTTATATTTCAAACACTTGCCTACTAAGATTGATGATGAACGTAACATGCAAGTACTTAAAAATATTTCTCACAACAAACAGAAGCTCCTAATTAGTTTAGGAGTTGTAATTAAGTGCGAAAAACAATTAAACAACATCAAGAAATTACCATGTTTCTTGTTTTACAATTGCCAGTTATAAAAGAAAGGGGACCTTGTAGTGGTTTGATAAAATGCAAATCTTGGCTTGGAATGTATGTTGAAAAATTTGGCATAATATCCTGCAAACATCAAAACACTTCAATTAGCTTTCATAATAAAGACTATACACAACATACGCTTGGGCAACATTTACGTCAATATATGAATCCTATTTACTTAAGTTAAAGGAAAATATATTTGATTCAAAGAGAGAACAATTTTGAACATGAATATGAATGACATTGACGTGTATGAAAAAGAACATGTCTACAATCTCAATTCCAATTCATTACGTTGTTTGATTATTGAATATTTAATATATACATTAACCGTTTGGGAAAATCCAAAAAGTACAGCACTTCCTTCGATGTAACTCTCAGCTAATCCCCTTTCTCTTGAAAGAAAAAAAACATATTTGTTGATACTCAAATAACATCAACAACTAATGAATGAAGGTTTGTTTATGAAAAATAGTTGGGGTGAATTAAATGCAAGAATAAGGAAAATGAGAGGAGTAACTGAGAATAACATACTCACCTTGTGATTATAATGAACCCCATCTATATAATGAAATTGGAATGTAAAAAAAAGAGTTTTGTCGCACACTTATAGAGGGAACAATATGAGTAGATGAAGGTGAGAATTCTACTATGTACCTCCATGGAGAGTACCGACAACCTACTTTGTACCTGTGTTGAATAGACTATAAACACGACTATATTCCGGTGATGTTTGAAAACCAAAGCGTTTAAGATTAGAACCAAAAAATATCTGATAACTTAGTTGATGTAGCAGGGCATCTTCTTGGCCTTAAAGTAGTGAAAATAGTTGAAAAGATGAGACACCTTATTTCATGAGAACATTTAACCAAAATAGAGAAATTATAAAATTGTTAGTTTTTTGGTAAAGTGTTTGTTAATAAACTACGATTACAATTCCTTGGGAATTGATATAGTTTGTACTATTCTTGGTTGAGGAAAGTGAGTGACTTATTCGGTAAATTGATCAAAAAAATTCTTTTTTTGACTTTTCTGGCATATGGAAAGAGCTGAATTTGAGAACTGAACGATGTTCTTTAAAAAATATTGAATATAGAGATGATCATAATGAAGGATTTACTTACCTAATGAACATGAGTTTGGTTTGTCATAACGAACATGAGTTTGGCTTGTCATAACAATTTGTTCTCCAGGTTGACCTCAAAGTAATGAAAATGTTGACTTGCGAATACAAATATATAGAGAAACCCTGTCTAGATCTATAATTAAAGAAATTGATATAAATAAAATAATTTAGATTAATAAGAAAATAGCAGAGAAACTTTCTTTCTCAAATATAGATTGGCAAGAAGCAATTACGGGAAAGAAGTTACAAATTCCTTGACTTTAAATATACAAAAATTTCATTTTTCACAATGTTTAGCGGTGCAACACATTGTGATGAAAACACATTCATATGTATCATCATGGAGTTTTCATTGACATACTTTAGTTCTTTTAGTTTAGATCCAAAATACAAAAAGCAATCCAAAGGTATTGTTTTTATCTTTAAGGACAATTTTTTTTAGAGAAAAAAGACAAAAAGGGACCGAGCTTTAACTTGAAAAAATAATACCAAAGTATAACCCGTGCCTATGGTTTTAACCATATGCTGGTCTTGCATGTGGGTCTCTCTGATCTGTGTGAAAAGAGAAGATAATGTGATGATAAGGATGATGACGATGATGATCCTAATTACTAAAAAATGAAATTGATAAACTATTCAACTTATTAAATCACCAACAATAAGAATACAAATTACTTTCAAAGAGAAAAATCAGTGGAGGAGAAAAACATATTCACATTCAAAACCCTACAATTGACCCACAACCATTCAATATCTAAATTTATGAGAGATAACAAAATTGTAGGGCATGTTCAACATGGGTCTAATTCACTTGAATGGGGGAGTATGGATGTTCCATTTAAGGTAATTCAAGGAAAAAATAAACCATTATCTAAATATCCAATGTCTAAAATTGCACATTTTGCTTGGGAGAAAGTTGTAGACAGAACTTCGAAGGCACAATCCCAACCTAAAGCAAAAAACCATTATAAAAAGTAGAAAATCAAGACCCAACCTAATGAACCTATGAACTATAGAAAAATATAATCTTCAATCTATCACAACAACATGAAATATAAGAGTATCAATGGTTTCCTTTAAAAGCAAAAAAAAAAGTAATATAGAAATAAATGTAGTAAATAGATTCTGGCATGCTTAAAATATTTATGCATTCACTTAAACATTTTCTTTGCTTAAGCAATAAAAACACTGGCATATCTTTTTAATGTAAATTCTGCAACTACACTATTAACATATTCTCGTATACTATTTTAAAGGATCAATGAATGACTACAAAAGTATATGCGGAGAAGGATATATTGATTTTATTATTTTAGTATGTAATTTTGTAAAAAAGGTACAGAAGCAATGTACTTCTCTTGCTTGAATTAAGAAGAGTAAATATTCTAGAAGCGTAATTGAATATACAACACGTAGAAATTAAGAAGACCAATTTGTCAATGTAAATATCAAACAACATATAGAAATTAATAAGATCAACATGTCACAAAATCATAGATTATTAAGTACATTTTGTATACAATTAAAGCCATAAATTCTAGACCACTATTTTCTATAGCAAATAAAGCAATGAATATTTCACAATTAAAGCATAAATAATCTAAGATGTATCATAGAAAATCATTCTAAAAAAGTCATCCCTTCATAGAATATTAATCACACATGCTGTATTAAAAAAAAAAATTAAACATGCCATTGAATAGTGTGTTATAAAATTAAACCACAAATAACCCAACGGTTAAAAATCATACGGAAGAAATTGCATCATATGCAAACCAAGCCATAAATCAAGACTCAAAAAAATAAAAAAAAGAAAAACCATTATATTGAAGAGGAACATGAATTGAATATGCACGGTTATGTAAGGGATGAATAACAATTAAATATGAAAATCGAAACATACCAAATTAAATTGATCGCAGCACTGATGAAAATTTCCACATTGAATCTCGAATCTCGAATCTCAACTTTGAATCTCAATTTTGGTTGTTTGGATCTCAATTAAGCGAGAAGATCGGATGAAGAGATTGGGCTGCCCTCAGAATCACATAAAATAAAGAAGGATCGCAGAACAATCCCAATATTCCGCCGATCCATAGCCGATTGTTTTGTTCAGTAGCTAATTTTTTTCTTCTGAAGAGATTTTGAGATTTTGGAGTGTTTCCATCTATGAAGAAGATGCTCAATTAATGAGATCTTAATTTTCCTTCGGTGAAGTGTTTCCTTTTAGGCGAAGATTTGACTTTTTTTTTTTTAAATTTCGTCCTGTGAAGGAGAGACACATGGCAATCCCTAAGCAGTGCCAAATGGCAACTTCTCAAAGCATGAACTCTCAAATATTACATATAATGATTGGGCAATGACCTGAAAAGAAAACTCCCTGCTTTTACTATTTCTGGGCATGCTTGGATATTGACTTTTCAAATAACTTTTGGCTATTTTGACTAATTTGGCTGTTTTAACGAGACAAACAACCAAATAGAGTGTTTGGCAAATGGCTGTTGAAGTTGGCTGTTAGAGTATGAAAAGTTAAAATATGAAAAGCTTGAGTATAATTATTCATTGTATAAATAATAAATAAATAAATAAATATGAAGTAAATAAAAACAAACAAATAAATGAGTAAATAATAACTACAAAGGCCAACTTCCAAACATTGCATTTATTGGAGTGAACTAACCTGATGAATAACCGCAAATTATATTATACATCCGGTTGTACCCAATTTTAGGTACAACCGGTAAATAGAAAGAAGAAGAAGAGCTGCATCGATTGGAATCGGAGGAGAAAGGAGAGGTTTAATCGATCGGGTCAGGCTACTGTATGGAAGGAGAGGTGCTCCTTGGCCGAGGAAGCTGCTAATGGCTGCGTCGATCGGAATCGGAGAAAGGAGAGGTCTAATTGGGTCGGGTCAGTCTACTGTATGAAAGGAGAGGTGCTCCTTGACCGAGGAAGCTGCTGATCGGTGCTTGATAAAAAACCTTAGTCGGGTCTGGTTGGGGAAAGAAATTATTTATGGTATGGATTTTGTTTTACATGAGAATGAATATTAAGTTATTTGAGAATGAGTACTGTTTTGTTTTAGAATGTGTGAAATTGAGTATTACTTTAAAATGAGTATCACACTAATTATATTTATGCAAAATGAGTAATACTATACTCCAGAATGAGTATTGCCATGATGTATCTGTCTTAGGTACATCCGGTTGTACCATGTAAGAACTAATGAATAACATATGAGATGGAACCTGCACAATTCTAACCAACCAAAACATAACAGCATAACACCCGCCTGGAAAAAAAAGAGAGAAAAAACTCCAACCATCTCCAGAAATCAGAATATCTGCCGTCAATCCCATTCTCCATCCCCAGGTAATTAATGTTCCAAACGCTTCAATGGATACCCTTATCTCCACTTCCGCTTATCGTCTACCCAAAGCTTCACTAGCTCTACCTTCTTCCCAACGGCGACCAAATCCCCTCAATTTACCCAAACCTCCTTGCTGCACCCTCAGAGCCTGCCATATCCGGCCTGAAAAGCAGTCTTTATCTCCGCCAAAAACATGGATTTCGCATCTCCATCAAGGAATAGCTGCGGTTACCATTTCTATGGCTCTAAATTTCGGCCCTGTTTTGCCGGCTGGTTCCGCGTTAGCATCTGAATTTGATGTCCTCAATGGAGGCCCTCCGAAAGAATCTTATGTTGTTGACGATGCTGGGGTCCTTAGCCGGGTCACAAGATCCGATTTGAAGCAATTGCTGTCAGATTTGGAGTCGAGGAAAGGCTACCGAATTAACTTCGTTACTGTCCGGAAGCTGACTGTAAGCTTCCTAACTTTAGGTTGTTTTTCTTTCGCATTCCTATTGTAGCATTCGAATGGAATCAATCTAGATTTTCTGTTTTCACTTAAAATATTTGCTTCTTGTTTTGCAATGCCTAGGAAATTAAGGAGTATTGAGCTTTGTGAATGTCTTTATTAATCAGTAGTAACTACTTCATGTTTGAGGCCAAAGTTTATATTTCTTTTTTTTTCTTTTCAGGAAAGGGATATGTGGTTAATAATAATTTTCACTTTTAACATTTGCAACAAAAATAATTTCAGAATTGCATTGTTACATAGGATACATAAATTGGGACTGCCTGTTTGCATGAGGACACGTAAGTTGGACAAGGAGTATAATAAGATTAACAATATTTCACCGTGTCTAAGGCTGGTGTAAAATTAAAATTCTGAGATTATTCGTGGGATTTATCCATGGAGAAGGTGGACATGTTAGTACATAACTACATATTAAAACCTTAGACCCTTCAATCTGGACTTGTTTAGTGTTCTGAGTGCTAACTTAGCAAACAAAGAATGCACATTTGTATTCGGGGAATCACACTTTTCTAGAATTAATTTGGAAACCAGGAACAGCATATTACCTAGCGAGTGTATTTTCCTTATACTGTAGAATATTGGGCACCTTAAAACTCCAATGTCCCTTTGAAATGGTCAATATAGCTCCTGTTTTGGGAAGGACGAATTAGTGATCCTATTTATAATTAATGTCTATGCTTTACAATTAAAAACCCCGAGTATACTGTTATAATCTGTTTCGTCTAATCTCCATCAATAATATATTTGAACTAAACAAGGAGTGTTTAAGACTACAAGATTTTTCGTGATCCAAGGGAGAATTCATTTTCGCACCTCATGTTTTACCCTAATATTTGATGTTGCACCGCATGTTTTGCCTTTTCAGGCATGTACCCCAGAGTGGAGTGACCAAATAGTATGGTAAATCAATGGGTCCAAATTCTAGTGCAAATTACCTGCTCTAGGATGCATATTGATCCAGAACTAGACATGTGGTGCAAAGTCAAAATTGGTATAAAACATGGGGCATAAAGATAAGTTGTTCCTTTTACGAAACTCTTGTCCCTCCATAAAAGAGAAGAAAAGTTCAGGAATATTGTTATCAGGTAGTGAGTGATAGCCTGATAGGAATGTGATTTTGAATTATTCATGTTTTGTGGCTGTAGAGCAAGGGCGATGCATTTGAGTATGCTGACCAAGTTCTGGAGAAGTGGTATCCCAGTGTTGAGGAAGGTAGCAATATAGGATTAGTCGTGCTTGTTACAAGTCAAAAAGAAGGGGCTATCACTGGTGGACCTGAATTTGTGAAGGCTGTTGGTGACACTGTTCTTGATGCTACTGTTTCAGAGAACCTCCCTGGTAAATCTTTTTTTCCCCAGTACTCACAATATTGATTGTTTTGTAGTTGCATGGAAAGTAAATGAATTCATTTTTGTAGAAAAATCAAGGATTCAAGGTAATTCCTTGTTTTTGGCTTAATTGCTATGGAATGTGGTAGCTTTTGTCAGCATAAATCACTGAATTGAATATGATTGTTCATTTCACATGATTAAGCATCCATGTTAGGGTTAGTTTTAGGTGAGGAAAAGAGATGCACAACAACAACTTAGTTGGATCCCACGAGATTAGGGTCCGGGGAGGGTGTGTGTACGCAGACCTTGCCCCTACTTGAAAGTAGAGAGGCTGTTTCCAAGAGACCCCCGGCCCCGGCTCAAGCTACATAGACAAAAATATTACAGGATATACATAAAGCTGAGAGATGCACATATAAAGCACAAAGTACACAAAGGCAAAGAACAAACTAGAGTTGACGAATGAAAAGTAATGCAATCAGTAAGGAAAAGAGATGGTGGAACAAAATAACAAAATTGGCAGTTCATGAATTCCTTCTTGGGTTAAGCTCTCAGCTGTGACAACCTTTATGGCTTTATCATGATTGTGTTACAATGTCTCCTAGTTGGAGCAAACTGGGCAATAAACTAGTTCTTCATGTTTCAAGCAATAAAGTTATACGCCTCAAGCCCCTCAAAAAGGACACAAATGCTTGCACCATAACGAAAATGCTCTAATTCGCTGAGATTGGATCTTGCAATGGCTTAACAGGCATATTATCAATATATTCGCTACATTTTTATCAAATTCCATGACCTTAAAATCAACAGTGATGGAATTGCACGAGTCTGTGGTAAATATGATGTGCCTGATTGTCTCTGAACCCTAATTTTATAGATTCCTTGTGAATCCAACATTGTTATTTGTTCTGTTTGGCTTGCACTCCCATGTTCGCAAGCTGGCATTCAATGGGCAACTAATCCTTTTTTACTTTATTTGTGTTCAATAGAGGAAAACTAACGATTTTCTTTCATTAACATTAGTTTGCTCGTTGCCTCTTTATTCTTTGTGCTTTATTTGCTCTATGTGTCTTCTGTGATCGTATATTTTGAGTTGGGAGTCTCTTGAAAACAGCCTCTCTACTTTGGAGTAGGGGCTAGATGTGTGTACACACACTCTCCACAGACCTTATTCTCGTGGGATCCAACTGGGTAACGCTGTTATCTGTTTCTTTTTATTTGAAAAAACTCATTTGTGTCTAAATTTTAACTATATAGGGATACTTTGGAAATAATTGAAAAGGGATTGAATAGTACCTTCTTACTAGTATTATCTATTTATCTATTTATCTATTTATAGTACCTTCTATTATCTATTTATAGTACCTTCTATTATCTATTTATCTATAATTGAAAAGGGATTGAATAGTACCTTCTATTATCTATTTATCTGTGAGAGAATTAAAATTCAGTCTGTCAACCAAAAACTAAACATTTCTAATGATTAAAGGAAAAGTAATGCACACCGTCAAAGGTTAACTTAGTTAAACTTGAGAAGTTTTGACTTTTGGGGCTTTTTTATCCAATAAGATGAACTCATAAAAGTGGGCCTCAACAGTTGACCTATATTTATATCATACTCCCTCCGCCCCCAAACTAAAGTTACTTTGATCTACAATGGTTACTGAAATGATTTTCAATTCAATTTATTTGATATTGGTGTAGGAATACAAAATAAGATTTCTATATTAAAAAACTACTCTATATGTCTTTAAAAAATTCTCGCTTTTCTTTTTGGAATGCCCTGAAACTTTTTGCATAATTCCTTCTAAGAAAGATTTGTGTAGCTGTCATTCTTTCTTAATAAGACACAACCACGCTATTCTAATTTCTTAATAAGTGTGCAAGTAAAACTTGGAATACAATTTTAGGACGGGAGTAAATCAAAAGTTCAACAAAACAATAGGTGGTATGACTATTATTTTGTCAAATGATCAAGGAAAATATGTAAAGAAAGAATGATATGGTTTGACTTTATGAATATAATAAATGTGAATTTGTTTCTGGGATGGATGTAATATTATAGGAGTATTATATTTTTGCATTATAGTACTCCCCCCATCCTGAAATAAATTTCATGGTTTGACTTCATAGAGCTTAAAAAGATGTTGAAAAATAAAAAGTGTATGGTTGGAATTTGTTAAGAGTTGAGAGAAAAATTTTGAGCCACATGTTACATTCTATAATAGGAAAAAATGTAGAGTGTGAAATTTATTTTGGGATGGACGAAAAAGGAAAATGTGAAGTTTATTTTGGGACGGATTATATCTTATGATGTGATAGAGGGCAAAATAGAACATGTCTTGTGGATGTTAAGATTGCTTCCACTGATAAGAAAATTGGTTTCAATTTGTGTAGTCTTGGCAACTGAAGAGAAGTACAATGAAGCAGTATATAGCACTGCCAAGCGTCTTGTTGCTGCCATTGATGGGCTTCCAGATCCTGGTGGGCCAAAGTTCAAGGAGAACAAGCGAGAATCTAACTTCAAAACCAAGGAAGAGACAGAAGAGAAAAGGGGGCAATTTACGCTTGTGGTTGGTGGTCTGTTAGTGATTGCTTTTGTTGTTCCAATGGCTCAATATTATGCATATGTATCCAAGAAATGAACTGTAATCATGGCTGTTCTTTACCCGAGGTCGAGGTTCTGTTATCATTTGACTTGAGGAAACTTGCTGTATACATTCAGTGTACAAACTGTAATTTGTGAAATAACTTGTTCATTCATACTCCCTACTAATTTTAGAATAAAATTTGAAATCTTGGCCGATTTGATAAACAGGTATGCCTGTACTTTGTGTTGTCCTTTTCTAATTACCTTTTTTTCCCTTTCATTATAATAAAAACTTCATTACAGCTGATAAAACCAATGGAATTTTGCAGACTAATATCATTTTAATTATGGATGCCATTTATTAGACAGTGTTTGTGAAAGAATGAAACAAGGACGAGCATGTTAGGCCACTAGAACTTGAGTTTAAGCAGGAAAGGCATCTGGTCTCTGAAAGGTGGATCCGAGTATTTTCCGGTGAGAATTTGCGTTGCAACATACTGATTTGCAGCGTCTGTGTAATGAATGCCATCCCAGTTTATATATTCACTACTCTCATTGCACCCTTTGGCTGTGATTGTTGTTCCATTTATAACCTTAATCTGGCCACATGATACCCGGCTGTCATAGTTCAGTGGAGGGCCTCCAACTCCACAGCAAGCCATTGTAGCCTGCTCAAATCCTGTATGCAATTATGCAAAGTGAATTCTCTTTTCTAATTCAATTTGAACAAAAAGAAAATTGATCAGGCATGGATTGTCTACCTTGCATAGGATGTACTTCAAAATGCAACACTTATTTCCTTTTGGTCAAAAATGGTTTTGGATTCTCTCCACTGCAGTGGACCATCCACTATTAAATTTGTGGCAATAACAGCAATGTGAATTTGCTTTCTTTCAACCACAAATTTAGTAGTCATTGCAGTGAAAGAATGAATCTTTTGTCTTTGCTCTTTAGAAAACATGAATGATACTGTTTCACTGCTTTTAAGTTGCTTCATAATCATTCATTAATATTATTCAACATTACTTGGTTCTTGTGGGAGAATAATAACCTAATGATTTAGATTGTTATAAGAGAAACTAGTTGTGTAAATTAGAAGCGTACGCACCATATTTGGAATAGTTATCAATGAGATCAAACTTGATTGTGAAAATATCAATGTAAGTGATATTTACATCAGCATATTTGCCTTGCAGCTTCTTGCAGAGTGAATGCAGCTGCAGGTTGAAGAGTCTAGCAGCCTGGTTATGTGAGTATACACATCCCAACTCATCCAGCTTTAGTGGATCAGTCCCAAAATTTGCAATATTCTGAGGTAAGCAACCCAGAGGACCCGTGTTGTGGATCCAAAAATTTCTTGCCCCTCCTTGATCATAAAGTTCCTGAATGCAGATTGTAGAAAATGCCATATCATGAACAGGAACACATATGTGAAAGTCATTTTCTTATAACTCATCCTTGGGTCTTTCATTTCGGAAGTCAGAACGTTTTTACCTCAATCCTGTTTTCAAATTCCAACAGAATTGTAGGAATCGAAGCAAGAACTTGATCTAGTGTCTTGGAATAAAAGGCACCAGCAAGATCATTCTGGCCTATATCAAACATGTATAGCCCACCCTGAAAAAAACTTTCAGCCGGTACGTACTTTTCATATTTCCTTGCTGCAAAGAGATCCAAGTGCATGAACTTATTTATTGTGTAATTGGAGATATTTAATTTTGTATATATCATAAAGATCAACTTACAATTCTTAGCTTGAATTTCAAGAACTCGAGACTTGAATCTTAGAAACTGAGAGACTTGAATACCAAATGAGAATGGGCTGACAGACGATGCTGTTGCAGGGAGTATGGTGGAACCAGCAGCTGCAAAGTTGCATCCTTTTCTGAAACTTGGCATGCCAATGGAATCCAAGTAAGGGTTCAACAATGGCAAATCCATTGCCTCCACTGCAAACATCAAAGTCAGTTTATATGTAGGAGGGATACATTCATAATATTTTCTTATTATCATTATTACACACGCACACATTGGGGTAAACATGAGATGCAAATATCAAATTGTGCAAAAGTATTCTCACTTAGAAAGTCGATGATCAACTGTCCATCACAGAACCTCCCAGAGGGTTTCTTGAAGTAAACATATCCATTGGGTGGGTCAAGGCGGTCGCCAACCCCTGCGACAAGTCCTCCTGTATCAGAGTTTGAATCACCGAAGTTGAAAACTGCAGGGTAATTAAAGTCGATGGCATTGGCAATGGGGAAACAAATCAAGAACAGCACAAGAAGTTGAAGAAGGGCTGCAAAAACTTTTGAAGCCATTTACTTGTGTGCTATTTGAAGTTAAAAATTGGCCTTATTTTCCCCCCACCTATATGTTCTTTTGATCAGCTAGTTGTATTGCCTCATAAATAGTAGCCATTTCATATAGTCTGGTGAGCTTTTGGAGTGTGCCTAAAGTTTAAGATTTAAGAATGTGGGGAAGGAAAAAACGTGCACTGTACTGTTGCGTTTATATCATTGTCATCATGATGGCTCATGGTCACTCTTTGCATTATAATTCACACAAGCGTCCATTTGGAATGGAGCTAAAATGTCATATTTAATATCTTTGTCAACTTTTTTAAAAAAGTCACTCATTTTTAAGAAACTAAGTTTAAAATCTCAAATAAGTTCATCTTGTAATTCATTCATATCAACAATGTTTAGATTCTACATTCAAGATAATTTGAGCAATCCATAAAAAAAATTGGTTTTTTGCTTTTGTTTTGGGACCTTTGCTGTTTGCGGATGATACTGTACTCATCGACGACGAGGGACTAAGCGATAAGGTTGAACTTTGGTGCTATTCTTTGGAGGCCAAGGGATTCAAACTTAGTAGGATCAAGACTGAATACATAGAATGCTGTTTCAGTGGCCAGGAGGTGGTTTCATAGGTGGAAGTTAGGATTGACTTTCACCTAGTGCCCAAGGTTGACAAGTTTCGGTATCTTGGCTCGATCATTTAGGCGAACGGAGAGTTAGACGAAGATGTTGTGCATCGTGTTGAAGTAGCTTGGGCTAAGTGGAGGTTGGGTTCAGGGTTGTTGTGCGACAAGAAGATTTTGCCCAAGATGAAAGGTAAGTTCTACTGGTTTGTTGTCAAACCAGCTATGCTCTATGGGGTGGAGTGTTGGGCGATTAAGAAGATTCACGTGTGTCGTCTGCATGCGGTAGAGATGCGGATGTTGCGGTGGACGTGTGGGCAGACGAGGCTGGATAGGATTCCGAATGAGGTTATTCGAGGTCGGTTAGGCATGGCGTCTTTGGAAGATAAGTTCTAAGAGGCTAGTTTGAGGTGATTCGGTCATGTGAGACGGCAGAATGTTGATGCTCATGTGCGAAGATGTGAGAGGCTTATGTTGGTAGGGGGAAGTAGAGGAAGCGAAAGACCTAGGAACAGTTGGAAGAAGGTGGTTAGACATGACTTAAGATTTCTTCACCTTAGTGCGGATATAGTCTTAGATAGGAGCGTTTGTAAGGATTAAATTAAAGTAGTTGGCTAGGTGCCTTATGATATGAGGCAGTGTTGTATGCTTGATAAACCTTTTTATGTTTGATGTTTTTTGTTAATTTTTTTTAAATAAGTGCTTTTTGCTATTTGCTTGCAATACTCCTGCTTCGTAATTTTAGTTTATTTTCTAGGTTTTTGGTGCTTAGCTTTATCCGTATTGCATGCGTGCTCTCCCTATTGTGTGCATCTGATGTGAGCTTTCTTTTTGTGCAGCTTGAGCTGGGGTCTCTTGGAAACAACATCTCTACTTTCAGATAGGGGCAAGGTCTGCGTACACACACTTTTTTCAGGCTTTACTCTCATGGGAACCAACTGGGTCGTTGTTGCTCTTATTTTTCTGAATTTTTTTATTGGATATGTAATATACTACCTCCGTCCCAGAGTATTTGTCCACTTTCATTTTTACACACCATCCAATACACATCTTTAATCCATTTTCTCTTGTAATTTGTATATTAAAAAATTATAGAAATTATATATTAATAATCTATATGTTAAGACAAATCAAACAAGATCACACATGACTATATTTAGGCTTACACATTGAGAGAATTTGATGAATCAAAGTCCTTAGATGAACAGTTCCAAAAATCAAAACTGGACGAATACTCTGGGACGGAGGGAGTAGAAAACTAATCATGGAAAAATTAAAACAAAAAGTGGACTGAGAGAGTACTCTGTATTACATTCTTTGACCCAAAGTGAGATTCCTATTTATTATTCGCGGGACAAATTAATTTTATTTTCTTTTTATGTTTTCGTTGATCATTTGATAAAATAAAATAATTTTTGTCATTATTTATTTTATAGAACTTTTGATGTAGTTTTTAAATACTTTATATATAATTTTTATTTTTTAATTTTAAATTAATTTTTACTTATATTTATTAAAAAATAACTTCAGTCAAGAATAATAAATTGAGCAGAAACCTTAAAAATTCCAATCATTTTAAAGAAATGAGTTTAAGATCTGAAATAAGTGCATCTTGTAATTCATTCATGTCAACAATGTTTAGAATTTATATTTAAGACAATTTGAGCAATTTATCAAAAAAATTGTTTTTTTTGCTTTTGTTTTGAGACCTTTGCTTTGGAGAGGTGGAGTGTGTTCCACTCACCCGATTATGTTTATTTAATATGTGCTCTTATTTTTCTGAATTTTTTATTGGATGTGTAAAGAAGTTGAAAACTAGTTATGGATAAATAAAAACAAAAAGTGGACTGAGAGAGTATTATACTCTTTGTCCCAAAGTAAGGTTTGTGATAACTTTATAACCATTTGTTTGGGAGAATTTTTGATGTACTAGTTTTTCAATACTCTGTATGTATAATTTTTATTTTTAAATTTTGCACCAACTTTTACTACATTTATTTAAAAAATAATTTCAGTTAAACATCGTAAATTTAACAAAAACTTTAAAGTAAATTCTGTAATTAATCCTTTATAACATGAGAATTTCCCTATTGCATTTTCTAGTGTTTCAGAATAACTTTTTTGGTAAGCAACTGGGTACATGGATGGTGCATGAATGTTACTGTTACTTGACTTATAGTGCACATATTATATTTAGGTTTTCGGTTACAAAATGGTTCAGAGTTTAGAACACTGTTGTAACCCTATATATTCTCATGTATAACCATCCAAATGTTGACATTCCATCCACACAAAACAGTGCATTACAAAGACACAAATCTTTCTAAAGAATTGAAAACCAATATCCTAAGTTTCACCATGATAAAAGGTTTCATTCTATTCAATAGAACACAAATTTTCAAGGTAAAACTTTTCTCTGCCAACCAAACACAAGAAAATGATTTTTCATGAAAAACCCTTTCTTTAGATTTGGCACCTACACTTTTACTCAATATAACCATTCTTACCAAATGCATTAAGGAAATGATTTTTCATGAAAACCCCAATTCTCTAGATTTGGCACCTAGACTTTTGAGGTGTTCAAGATCTTTGCTACTAAGCGCTTACCCAAAAAAACTACTTCGGTCACTCTTGGTCGAACATGTGGGTACTAGTTCGATCAGAATTGGTCAAGCGTGAATTAATTCACCTCGGGTAAAATAAGCATTGAATTGATAGAGCTTACAATTCCCCATGGAGGTGGCTGCAGCCTTCACTTGGGCAAGTATGAAATGCATAGCAACTTTATGCTGGATGGTTGGTATGACTTTGCATAAGGAAGCAAGCTGAATGGCTTGGCCCTCTCCGTGATGTCCAACACTGATAAATTTGCTTCCCTGGCCAAGGCAAGAAAACAATTAAATGTAGTGATGTTGCGAACCACAGAGGCAATATAAGCTACAGGCGGAGAGCTTGGAAGTCCATCATGCAGATATGTGCCATTCTGGTCATCACTCTTTCTTGTTGACTTCCCCAAACAACCATCATTTCTACTATCACCAGCTTGCAAACCTTCTCGGTTCAGAAGAACGGCTAAAACTTGAACAAGATGTGGCAGACACAATGGATCATAAATAACATCTGCACCCAAACTATACGGACTCCGGTTAAGTAAGCACTACTAAATACTAGGGGAGAGTTTGGTTGCAACGTTCATCAATACTTGAAATTGTTGAGCTCTCAAAGCGAAAATTAGTATCTGGGGAGTAGAGAATATGCTCACACTATATCCGGATTGATCTGCTGAAGACCATTTTCAGCTGCAGATTCCCAGGGCAAGTGCAGGCATTGTACCTAAGAATGTGAAATTTATCAGCATAGAAGATAACTGTAGCTCACACCAAAATCCGGTTTTACTTGTTATTAATTTTACTTGGACAAAGAATCAATGTCTCACTTTATAGATGACTTGTTTGCCCCACCGTCAAAAGTATCCGAGAGTGCCCCAATATGTATGAAGCTTACGCCTCTAAGGCAAATTCAAAACATGTCCATTTATATCTTCATCCAACCCAATGTGTGTGAAATTTATTTCCATGGATTTGAGAAAGGTTAAAGACAAATCGTGAATCCTTATCTGTGTCTAATGTAAAATTTTGAACACATCTTTGAGTGTGTGAAAATACTTATGCTGTTATAGTTATACGATTAAAAATGAATTCATTTCTAGAACGTAAAATTTTAATGTCATTTTGATAAACAAAACTTTAATAGTTTTAGGAAAAAAGATTGCTAAGCTGGACAGAAAATGCATGCATTTCATGAGGCTTTCATCTGTTACAGACACAATTACAAGATCAATTTTCGTAACGGATATCTTAGCATGGAACATTTATATACTTGTATGCTTTTGAAAGGGAACAAAGACCAAAAGTTTTAGACTAAGATCTCCGTGGAGCCCTCCATTTTCGGTTATCAGGGTGAAAATTTATAGATACTACAGCACAAATTTATATAAATATTTTTATACTAACTCACTGTATTAGAATCTACTGTATGCTCCAAGAAATCATTACTGGCAGTAATCTTGTTTGACTCCAAATTAAGCCTCATATTTGCTAAAGTTGACAAGTCACCATCACTGAGTATTACCTGCACCAGTTATACAATTATGAAACTCACTTAAATACTAAGATCAATTTGAAAATCAAAGATGTGGGAAAGAGATAGGGGACTTGCTTTGGAGGCTTTTATACGGGCTAGACAGATGCCAACTAATCCAACACCTGAACCAACCTGTTATTGTCAAAAACAGATATGCACAGCTTACTCACTTTATTAGATCAGAGATTTATTATGAAAATGTTGTTTAAAGAAAAAGTATGTACCAAATATCAGGGAAATACAACCTTTACTCAAATTGTAGAGATACAGTCTACTTAATTCCTCAATTATGCATATAACCACAATTGGTCCCCGTATAGTAAGCATTGTATTGGAATCAGCCTCTAAAGTGACAAAAATTGTTAGTTTTGAATGCTCAAAACACTTTGTAAAGTTGTTATTTTAATTTTACAATTTTGTCTTCATAATATAGACTTTAGAGTGTCAAACTAATATGACTACCTTTATCATAAATTGCAACATTACATTAATCATCTGAGATAATTAGAGTTATGAACATTGATTCGTCAAAAAATAAGTTAGACAAATAGATGAAGGATATAGGGATTCAGTTGCCTACTTCTCCGTATTTGGAAAACCAAAAATAACATTTCCCCCACAGAAGTTAACAAATGATGATGTGTGTCAGAGTGTCAGTATGTGAAAAGAGTGACAACTCTTCATATTCACTAGCAAATGCAAAAGAGTTTCGGAGAATGCTTGGGAAAATAACCATTTACTTGACAGCAGAGATTTTGAAAACTTTGCACTGCCACCTGCTGGTAGTGCTGGACAACAGATTGGAAGGGGGGAGAACAAAACACTTATCTACATACATCTCACCTCAAAGCAAGATTTATTTGTGAATAGTTCTGGAAAGGAAAGTACGAACTCTGAAAGGAAAAGAGATGATGGCCAAATCGAACACCTGATTGAACAAAGCATTAAACACAATTAGATTGGACTGGTACAACAGGCAACTAGGCAAGTCATAGATGTACAATGGAAAATTGAACAAGAATATCATAGCAAGAACAAAAACCCTGCTTCAAAATCATCCACCCATATTAGTTCTCAGATGCATTTTTCCTGTTTTGTGCATTAATCCAAATGGAACTGAAAGCCCCCAATCACCCCCATAAAAATAAAAATATCATTATTGTTTTTAAATTGAGAAGAGAAGCATATGATGGATTTCAAAATCAAAAAGAGAGGTTGATGATTGAATACCGATATCCATCTCATTGAATACCAATATCCATCTCCACATAGCTGCATACAGATTTCAAGTCCACCTTAAATTCTAAATCCATTCATCTAAACGAGGCATAATTGACTTTTTGCAGCAATGCATACCCTGTATCTCCTTCAAGCAAGTTGACTGAGCAGTGCAGCAAAACTTCCAACTTCCGAGATTTTGGACAACTTGGCAAATCTGAACACTCTAAAGATGCAAAAGCATATTCAAATCCATAATCTATATTTTACAAATAAATTCTATAATCACTTCAACAAAAACAATCAAATCCAAAATAAAATAAGACAATCACCTCTAGGGAAGATAAATGAAATTGTTTTTGAAAATCTAGCCTTCTCTTTTGCCGATACATCATCCTAATAATAATAATAATAATTCTATATTAAATACCATATTAAAATAAAAAAATTTGGATACATACAAGTTATGAATTGCTGCAAAAAATCAACTCCCTGTGTTTCTTATTCATCTCCTTCTTTAACTTTGCATGCTTTTAAAGAAAGCGAAAAATTGTACGGTTGAAATTTATTGACGAGAGAGAGAATTAACTAGAGAAACATATCATTAAACGGAAACAGTAGATAATTTTGGGACTGACTAAAAGGAGAAGAATGAAGATAAAAAAGGGACTGAGGGAGTATTAACTTGTTATACCCGGGCCTGGCCCTATCATACCCTCCCCCATGTCCTACACCCTCGCAAAAACCAAAGGACTTACGTTCAAACATTATGATCCGTTTTAGTGAGAATTCCAGGTCCTTCAACCCGAGAGGCCTGAATAACTTCGGACCCAAGGTTTCCGCAGACCGAATCCCACTCCGTCCAACCCAACCCTAAACATCCAAAACTCCTTGCCATTTAATTCATTTCAAAATAAAGCTTTTCCTACTCTTATTTTAGCCCTGGCAGAAAATAAGTGTGTAAAATAAAACCTTTTGTTTGTTGTTATTTTCCTTCTTTTAAGCCTTTTATTAAACAAATAAAACCCTCCCTTTATTCCATTCATCCCCTGGACAAAATACACTTCACAACCCCAACACAACACCTAAAAAGAGCCAAAATCCTGACCCACCACAAACCACTAATCCCTGCCCATGGTCCCCCACAAATAACCCAAACCCATATGTCCAAAACCACCCCTAATATTGCCCAGCCCTGTCCCCTTTTATTGGCCAAACACAACCCCTCATTTTTACCCAAATAATAGCCTTAAAACCCAGGAACCAACCACTACAAACCAAAGCTCAAAACCCCCACAACCCCAGCCCCATCCCTGAATTTTATCCCACTTTGGAGACAGGATTCAATGAGTGTTACCCCATACTTTGGAAGTGGATGTTGCTAGGAAGCTTCCTCATGTTCACATTCAATGTATTATGTATTTTCCCCTTCCCCTCTCCCTATATAACTCAGGCCATATGGCCATTGTAACACATCTTTGAATATTGAAAACCATTTACTCTTTGAGTATTATTAAAATAGTGTGATGCTATTTTAGCCAAATTCCTAATTCTATATCTTAAGAGTGGTTATCTTAAGTGTGAGTTTTAGGTTCTAGATATTTGATTAAGTGTGTAATATCTTAATTGAATTCTAGATTCAAACCCCAAGTTAGGATAAGAGTGTGTAATATCTCCTAACACCAACTTGGTTTTATCCATCCGTGATATTTCTTCCATTTCATATCCCTCCATTTCTCCTTCTTAATCCTATTCTTTTTCTTCCATAAAATACCAAAAAAGAACTCCTAAAACACCCTCCATACTTTCGCCCACTATTTCCCTTCCATTTTCCTCCGCACATCCACCACTAAATTATCAACTTGATAAGACCCCCGGTTTACCCCTAACATAACTTTACATCAAATAACACACAGTAGATTACCTTCATAGACATGTAATATACATATTTCTCGTAAAGCTCATCAATAACGACTTCACCACTTGACTCAATTTCAAAAATAAGTCTCTTCAAAAAACCTCTCACGTAAGGGGAGTAGGCCTTAGCATCCTGGATTACAATTTAAGAGCACAGTCCTCTATGAAACAATAATAACAAACACTAAGATAGGAAAAACTGCTGATAATAATCTCAACTATCTTTGGTCTACTTCAAATCATCCAAACTATTAGTTGCTTATAATAATCCCAATTATTAAGTGAATCTTCCAAAAGTACTCCCTTGATTTCTTTAAACTTGCAATGGCACATAACCGGGAGTATTTTGGGAAGCTTAATCCAATAATGGGAATTATTTCACCTACAAATAATGTTTGAAATATCAAGAATGTAATTTGATGTCAAAAACGTAAACAAATGTTTGAAATATGAAGATACGGAGTACATGGCAATAAAACAGATCGAACATAGTTTAGATAAATTTATCCTGAACAATAATATACTAAGGATTCGGACAACGTACAGTTCTATTAATGCAGTGTTCCCAGATAAAATGTTGTACTCTGTCCGAGATCAGACCTCTGTCGAAATCCCTAAAAATAATTAAACGACATAAGTAACTGAAATGCATCATCCGTGTGGCTAGGTATGTGCTACCTGGCAAAGGAGATGACAACGTCAGGCGGTTCCATGAAGAGGAAGGCGGATATAACGTGCAGGCACGGCGGAGCGGAAAGGTCTAGCTCTTCAACTGAAGTTTCAGTCGCCATAGCTGTGAATTCTATGTATTCCATTTTATTTTCTTTTCTCTATTTGTTTTGATCCCCTTTGGTGTCTTCCTCAATGCTTCTTGGAGGCCAACAGTTCCAAGGCTCCGTTCCGTTCAACTTATTTTTTCTGATCTGATCTGATTTCAATAAGTTCTGATCTCATCTGATCTGATCTGATTGGATCTGATCTGATCTGATTGGATCTGATCTGGTCTGATCTGATCTAAATGGATCTGATCTCATCTGATTGGATCTGATCTGATCTAGTCTGATCTGATTAATTATGATTTGATTAAAAATTCAGATCAATAATTTTGATTTGACTTTATAATAACGTTTGAAAATTGTAATGATAATTTATATTATAATATAATCAATATTTTTTATTTAATGATTATTTTTTAATAAAATAAAATTAGTTAATACATATATTAGAATAATCATTCAAATTATAATGTAATAATATTTTTTATTTTATGATTATTTTTTTTTGAAATTAGAATATTAATTTAATATTTTAAGAATTACTTCATATATACATTAGAATAAATATTTAATTTATATAAACATTAAAAAGTAATTAAATTTAGATAATCAATATATAGAAGAGATAGTATTTTTATTAAAATATCTCATCCTTATAAAAGATCAAAACTTTAAAAAATTCAAATTACAAGTAGCAATAAAAATATATTTTAAAAGTACAATTAGATTGACATTGTCAATGTATTTTAAAACTAATTTTTTCGACGTCTAATAATTAAGGATTACCTTCTCATTTTTCTATTTAACCTGTTTCTAAAGTTTATTCTTTTTCATTTTTAAGAACAAAAACAAAAACAACAACAACAACAACAACAACAATAATAATAATAATAATAATATAATAATAATAATAATAATAATAATAATTCTTGATGGGATCTGATTTTAATAAGTTCTAATCTGATCTGATCTGATTGGATCTGATCTGATCTGATCTGATTAGATCTGAATGATCTGATTGGATCTGATCTGATCTAATTCGATCTGATCTGATCTGGTCTGTTTCGATCTGATCTGATCTGATTCGATCTGATCTGGTCTGGTCTGATCTGATTTTAATAAGAATAAGAAAAAATTAGTTGAACGGAACGGGGCCTAGAACATGCTGGATTATTGTTATAGAAACTTGGGAGATGGATCAAAGTAAGAGTAAAAGAGTTGTCATATTCCAAAATAGGAGTAGAAACTTAAACTCCCCTAAATAGGAGTATTTAACTTAACAATGACTCTAATTTTTTTTTACTCCAAAAACAATGACTCATGCATATCCCAAAACTAAACAATGACTAAATTCCAAAACTCCTTATTCGTACATGTGCTGAATTTTCAATCCCGGAGTTCGGTGCATTGTTCTAAGCCGCCTTATACATGAATTTTTCAAATCCTTGGTTTCCAATTAGGACCTTCACTGCCCCTCTTCCATGCAATATCCTCTTTATTTAATTATTTTTTTAAAATTATAAATTTTCATACTCTTTTACACACCCATACACTCAAAGCCTCTAAGTTTCAACCTCCGATAACTCTAGAAATTAGGAAAAATTCAGTAATATCAAAAATGTAATTTAATTTATTCTAACAACTTATCATTTGCTTAGAAGACTCTAGTGCCTCTTCAACTCTTCCATGAGAACATAATGTTGTAACATAATGACCATGTGAACATTGCCCTTGCTTTACCAAGTAGTTCCACAAACTACCGCCCAAATCAATCGTATGATTATTAAAGAAAAACTTTCCATGTTGTCGTGTTGTTGGCAAGAACTCTCGTTCAGTCATCTTGATTTATACTCGTAGTAAATTATTATTGAATCATTAACAAAACTGAATTGACAAAAAAATAACAAATTTGAATGTAAAAAAAATTAATTCAATAACAAAACACACCCAAAACTTCATCAACAAAAATGAATCAATACCTACATATAGAAACGTAGTAAATTTCTAAATTAAAATGTACATACAGTGTCAAAAAAGATCACATCAAATGTCACATGTAATCATATAATGACAATCATGCCAATGTATAATAAAGTCATACATGCGAATGCATAATGCTAAAAAAATAACAAATTTATTTGAGCGTAAACAAAATTAATTCAATAACAAAACATATCCAAAACTTCATCAACAAAAAATGAATCAATACCTTACATATAGAAACGTAGTAAATTGCTAAATTAAATTGTCCATACAGTGTAAAAAAAGACCACATTATATGTCACATGTAATCATATAATGGCAATCATGCCAATGTATAAAGTCATACATGTGAATGCATAATGCTAAACAATTTAAATAGATAATGCTAACCCTGACATTGTATAATATCATTCCTGTTAATGTATAATGAAAGATATATCAATGTATAATATTAAATATCACAGATATTAACGCATAATGTCAAAGATGGGTAAATATCAAGTAACTCTACTTTTTGCTACAGTTTTGTTTAATGAGTATTGAGAGTCCAAATTGGTTTGTGTGCCCAACTTGGGGTGTGCGGCCAACTTGTTTGTGCGACTAGGAGGGTTAATCAAAATTTATATTTAATTAATTACTCCTATTTAGGGGAGTTTAAGTTTGAACTCCTATTTTGTGGATATGATCCATGTTTTACTCCTATTTAGGGGATTTTCTTTAGAAACTTCTAATAAACCCTAATTGCTTGTAGCTTCATCATTACTATTGATGACCTCTCATCAACATTTTTCAAAGCAGGTAAGATCCCCATTTTTCGTAGGAATGACAGTTTTGAAACGTAGAGGAAAAAATTAACGATGAATGTAATGGCTATGAAAGCTTTGTAGATGGATGTACTAATAATATGATTTTTGCATACGGGGTTAAAAGAATTATTCATTTTTCAAAGTGCTATAACAAATTTTAATTACCATTAGTATATTTACATTATTTAATTTATTATATTTAAAATTATTATAATTAAATGACTATAACTAAAATGACACGCGAATTAATACGGAGTATACAATTATCTAGTCACACGGTTATATAATTAATACCTTGGTTAATTATTACCTTTTTTGATTAAATTACTATAATTAAAATATAAAATATAGCCATTATAAAATATAGCCACTATAATTAGAATATAGCCATTATAAAATTACTATAATTAAAATTACTATAATTAGTTTGACACGGTAATTAATACCTAGTATACAATTATGTAGTCACACGATTATATAATTAATACTATGGTCAATTATCACCTTTTTTTATTATTACCTTTTTTATTAGTATGATTTCGAACACTTTAAAAATGAAAGTTAATTATTACCTTTCTTGCTATTAAACGTTATATATATTTTGAAAAACAATAGAGTATTTCTTAGCACAAAATAATCTTCACGTGAACAGATTTTCATCCGCATCACCTCACTGGCCATTCACGCGAATAATCTTTCATCAGCATCACCTCAAAGAGCCTCAGCAAACTTTGTTTACACATATGTGCATGTTTGTGCTCCTCAGTCCTTTTCCGTAACCAGCGATTCAATTTCCGTCTGGAATCAGAACCCAATTTCTGGGGTTTCCTAGCCAAAATGAGTGAAGCCAACACTGAAATGGATGTGATTCATTCCTGGTCTGCACCAAGGTCTCTCAGTACCAGCCTCATGTATTCCTTTGCGCAGGTCTCTTTGTCCTCTTTTCTTTTTATGCTCTCTTTTTTTAATTGGTAGAAGGTAATGGAAGTGTATGAAAGTAGAGAGAATAGGAAGTGTAAGTTCTTGTGGGAGAATACATCGAAATTGACAGAATTTTCCCTACATTTTGAGCATGGGTGATTATCCCAACCAGACAATGCCCTAATCTGCGTGGATGTTTAATTAGGATTTCATACATTATTCTTTCTTTTTACTTTGGGATTTAAGGAAAATTAGTAGTTTGAAGGTTATGAAGGATTATGTCATACAACTTGCGCTTTACATTCACATTTTTAGTGAACTTCCTCCCAAACATACCATTATTTTCTGTCTTTTTTCATTGCCCGAAAATTGAGTTGAAATTCATGTTTGTGGTGCTACCAGTAAATTGTTCTTGTTGAAGGTAATGCTGTTGATATTTGATTTAGACTCTACCCTTGACAATGTTTGAGTTATTTTATACCTTCATTGTTTCATAGAGGGACGATACTGAAGTTCTTGATGAACCCTTGTATGCATATTTTCTCAAAGTAACCGGAGCAAAGAGGCCATACAGGGATGCTGTTCTTTCAAATATGGTAAGTCATACCTGTGTCTGTCTATAAGTGCTTGTTTATTCTTTTGTTGCTACTTGCTAGTAGCATTTAGAAGTTAACCACAGTGTATGCATTTATTTTCTGGATATATGGGATTGACATTCATCCTTATCTGTTGGCACGTGGGTTAGTAGATTTGTTTCAGTTGGCATGATCAACATTTCTGCCAGCTTAACATAATGACGCCTTCAAGCAAAGCACCATTACTAAAAAGGAATGTCATTTCTCATTTTACCTTTTTCCTTAGATCAGCCTGCAACATTTGAATGAAGTGCACGGCAATGAAGGCATCATGTCAGTTTGCTAATTGAAGCGATTCTAGATAAACATATAGATTGGAAATTCATGTGACTTAGAGATTGTGAAGTGATTTAATTGTGTCAAAGACTCAAATTTGAATATGAAGTCAGAGTTTCTTATTTAAGCCTGATTTCCACCAGCTGTGATTTCAATTCAAGATTTCAGTGAGGTCAAAGCTGTGTATTACACTTTACATATTATGTCACTTAATTCTTGGAGCTTTTCAATAAAAATATGGATATTTTGGGTGTTATCTGTATGTGTATTTTGAGCTCTTAGTCGAAATTTGACAGGAATGTGATGGCAATAAGGTGGTCAAAGATATAATTTTTGGCCCAGGAGAAAAGAAATTTCGGTACTGTAAGGTAACATACTTCCTATAATATATATGGAGTAATATATAAGTTTGACCTGCCATTATGAGGGAGGCTTGTTTTAAAAAGATATGAAAGGTAGATTTAAATTAAAATCGGAAGACTAAATTGTTCATCTCACATGGTTTGTTGGTTTTTAAAAAGACTACGCCCCATTTTATTTTATTTTTCATTGGGTGGGACTTGAGAGATGAAATATTCCAAAAATTAGGAAAATGCATGCATGTTGCAATGCAATAAAAACAGTATTCATTAATGGTTGCTTAGGATAAATTATAGGTGGCATTATGGAAGGTGAGGGGCCAAGAGGAGTCCTTGTGGTGGACTAAAGTAACATAAAAATGGTATCGTTAAAAGAGCTCATGACATACTCAAAAGGGGAAAGAGAGGATTAGGAATTGGGATGAAAGAAACATATAGTGGTGCTAAATGAAAGGGCAAAAAGGAAGTGTTAGAGGCAAATGATAAGGTTTAAGAGAAAATGTATAGGCGTTTATAACTCAATGATGGGTATACAAAAATTTACAAACTAGCAAAAGCCAGATAGAGAGGCATAGGCACCGTAGGTTATACTCTGTATTTAGGATGATGATGAGTGTGTTTTAATGGATAGCCTTCATCTGTACTAATAATCAGAGATGTCACCACATGCTTAATTCTTAGCAACGCAATGTGTTATACCCAAACCCGTGGTCTTATCAAGTACTCCATGGATAAGAAAATGGTGACTTGTGGACGACGTATAGGGAGGAAGAAATTAGGGAGTATTATGAGAGGTGTTTGAGGAGTTCTTTGGGTTATTTTTATGAGGAAAATAAGAGATTTAGGAGAGAATATGGAGGAGAATTCGAAATGGGAGAATTAAAATGGGAGGGATGAGGCTCTGTTCCATACGCCTAATCTGATTGAATATGATCTGATTCGGTCTGATCTGATTTGATTGAATCTGATCAGATTGGATCTGATTTTTTCTAATTAGATCTAGTGTAAATGTATTTAAATTTGATTTAAATTAAACTTAAAATTATTACAAAATTTAATAGTTTTATAGTATTACAATTCATATATACATAAAAAAGTAAAATAAGAAAATTAGCAAATCATTGATATATTTAAACTTTTTTTTGAAATATTAAACATGTTTTCAATATCACTACTTTTTTAATCTTTAAGAAAACTAAATAATCGATATGAAAATAACCAAATATTAGAAAATATGGATGCTATTCTACAAAAATATCACATTCTATATGCATATTACATAATAATATATTTCATGTTACAAATTAAAGATCATATAAAATCTTAAACACTAATATTCCTTTCACCTCTATTAATTTTGTCATAAACTCACCCTTGTGTATATTATACCATCTTAAAGTTTAAAAGTAAGTCTTTGTAAGTATAAAATATTTATGGTTTTGAAAACTAAATTTTGTATAATTATTTTATAAACAAGTATTTTAAAACAACTCTTATTAAAGTATGAAAATTACAAATTTTTAAGCTTTAAAATTGCTTCCATGCATCATTCTTACAAGCTAAGCAATTATTAAAAATAATGGTTTGTAGTTGAAATATACTCCCTCCGTCCCGGAGTATTCGTCCAGTTTTGACTTTTGGAACTGTTCATTTAAGCACTTTGACTCATCAAATTCTCTTAATGTGTAAGCCTAAATATAGTCATGTGTGATCTTGTTTGATTTGTCTTAACATATAGATTATTAATATATAATTTCTATAATTTTTTAATATACAAATTACAAGATAAAATGAATTAAAGAAGTGTATTGGATGGTGTGTAAAAATGAAAGTGGACAAATACTCTGGGACAGAGGTAGTAATAATAATAATAATAACAATAATAATACAACAATATAATAATAATTAAATTATAAAATTAATCAAGATTTGGGTGTGTGTAGCTTTAAATAAAGTAATATGATTAAATTAAATAATATTAATTATTACTTAATCTTAGAAAAATATAAATTTTAATTTTTATATTTTTTCCTGATTTGATATTATTTGATAAATCTGGTCTGATTTGATCTAATTGGATCTGTTCTGATTTGATTGGATCTGATCTGATTAGGTCTGATATGATATAATCCGATCTTAATAAGAATAAGTACAAAAATTAAGTCCTACGGAACGGACCTAAATTTGAGTAAGTGTAAAGAGATATGTCTCACTCTTATCTTAACTTGAGGCTTGTTATCTTCACTCACACATTAATAATCACTACTAATGTATAACATTAGACTCCTAACATGCACTCGAAAGTAGCCAACTTAAGAGATATTTCATCAAGAAATCGTTTGAAGAAGCATCACACTTATTCAGAGAAAACACTCTAAGAGTATTAACTTAGTTTTTAATTTCAATGGGAAAAGCTAGGTAAAAGTAAAAAAATTACTATAGTGAAAATGGGAAAATAAGGAAAAAAGAAGTAACTTTTGACCATTATTTTCTACCCTAGACTTTTAGGCTTCATTTTGTCTCTCTCTTATTCTAGAGTTCGGCCCACCTTAGGACTAATTAGGGAGATATCCTGTTTTATTCATTATGTTTTATTTAGGAAGGAAAAATAAAAGCTATGGGGCTATGGGCTAGTATGGTTCTGTATATCATCCTTCCTTTCTTTAGAAAAGTTTGACCTTAAACTTTTGTACCATCATAGAGGATTGATATTTTGTTGTCATCATTTAATTCCCAAGTAAATTCTCAAAATAATCATTTGTAAAAAGACATTTTCCCAATTCAGTCCTCAATAAGTTCTAATTACCTACATGGTCTCCTTTTATAATTGAGATTTATTCCTTAGGTAGTCCTTTGTAAATAATGTTACTGAACTGATGATTAATTAAAGGGTATTTTGGTATTTCTATTATCTAAATTTAAAGTATATTCTCAAAATGGTCATTTCTATACAATTAAATGTAAAGTTAAAACAATACATTGACTATACAATGGTATACATAATCCATGTATTATTAAAAACCTATAAAAAAATCTTTTAAAATTTGAACAAAATATACATCTTTAATTAGAAATTTCCATTTTGGGAAAGCATTTCATTAGACATGATCATTTTAAGAACTTATTCTAAATTTAGCTAATAAAATACCAAAATATCCCCCAATTAATCATCATTTGAGTAACATTATTTACGAAGGACTACCTAGAGAATAAATCTTAATTATAGAGGACCACATAGGTAAATAAAACTTCTTGAGGGCTGATTTGGGAAAATACCTTATTAGAGAGACCATTTTGGGAATTTTCTCTTAATTCCCGGATCAAATGGGAAATTTGATGGCTCGTCCACCATATGATTTTCTATGAGAACTTGTGCCATTTTGTCATTGACACGTCTGACATCTCGTTGAACATATTACGATCTCATCTTCCCGGGTGCAAGAATGATGATGATGGAATCCTTTGGCTCTTGAATCTGCATTTTTGCATAGAACAATTCATGTATAACTAATAAATGTTCTATTTCAAAATCAGTTACTCCCTCCGTCCCCATTTTGATTACAATATTCTCTATCTTTTTTGTCCCAAAATAGATTACAAAATGCCACTTTAGTAACATTTGCTCACCTTTAAGACAAAAATACCCCCCACCTTTAATACCCACCCCCCACATCCCTGACATTTTGAGATCCACACTCTAATCTTCTTCTCCGCAGATCTCTCCTCCTCTTCTCTCCTCCCCCTTCCTCTTTTATCGTTTATCTTCCCTCTCCAGAATTCCTCTTATGTCTTCGCCTTCTCCATGGACTTCAGATCCATGGATGCCTATTTTTTTTATTTCTGACCCAAGAATCACATTCTAGATCTAGATCTGGTGTTAAATCGATAAACTTACTTTTGATTTCACAAGAATCAGAATCAGGTGGATGAGGCTTGGCCATAAGAGGCGGAGCTCGGCGAACTTCCACCACAGGAATAGTAGCTGTTGCCGCGATCTTCCCCGTTGATGGTCAGATTAGTCGGAACCATCACTATCTTGCGTTAATTATTAATGTGTTCTTTGCAAGCCAAACATATATCAAGCCCACTTTGTTGTATGCAAAAATGAAATTCTTAATACTTCACTCTCACTTTGGTATAGTTTGATTACTTTGATTTCTTTGTCCAATTGGCAGGGAGTGCATACTTCGGTTCCCACCATTAATACATTGCTGGGGTATTTTGGGAAAACTTTTTTTGATATGACCTATTATTAAAGTAGTCAAAAAGAGAATATTGTAATCAAAATGGGGACGGAGGGAGTATTTTGAAGGATTCCTCTTGTGCCGTTCCTTGAAGAAGATTATCATAAATAAGAAATGAATCATAATTACTTTTCGTAGATACTAAAAAGTGATCATGGATGTCCTCACCTTCAGATGTTGAATTGTTCTCTAGAAGTTCATTATCATCTTTAAAAAGGTCAAAGACGTTTTCTCTGTTGTAGTTCTCTTCCTCGTCCCAAATTGGTTCTTCAAGTGGGACTTGCAGATTTGCTTATTTTTCTTTTTGGATTTCGAGGTACTCATTTCGTATATGTTCATGAAGTACCTCTTCACTGGACAATTTGGAAATTTGTAGTCAGAGAGCCTTGTTTTCGAGATCTAGTTTCTTCAAAACAGCAATAAGAAAACCTTAAACCATCAATGATGCAGATTTTTTTTCTGGGCTGTTTTTTTTTTGAGAGGGAAGGGCGTGAGAAGGGTCCCCTAGGGATGTTAAACAGTTAACTTTGATACCAAATGACAAATGTTATACCCGAACCCGGGGTCTTATCAAGTAGATAAGAAAATGGTGGATTTACGGATGACATATGGGGAGGAAGAAATTGGGGAGTATTGTGAGAGGTGTTTGTGTTCTTTTGGTTATTTTTATAAGGAAAATAAGAGATTTAGGAGAGAATATGGAGGAGAATTCGAAATGGGAGATTAAAATGGGAGGAATAAATCTGTGTCAAGGTTAAGAGATATGACAAACTCTTATCTTAACTTGGGGCTTGTTATATTCACTCACATATTGTTTGAAAAAATACTATTAATGTATAAGATTAGACTCCTAACACGCACTCAAAAGTAGCCAAATTAAGAGATATTTCATTCAGGAAATTGTTTGAACAAGCTTCTCACTTTTTCGGAGAAAACACTTGGAGAGTATTAAGTATTAACTTAGTTTTAATTTCAATTCATCATATTATACAAAGAGGAGGGTGGCCTGATTTTATAGTCACATGGGAGTACATTTTCTAGCTTAATACATCATTATACTTAATATTCTAATAATTGCAATGGGAGAAGCTAGGTAAAAGTCGAAACATTACTTTAGTGAAAATGGAAAAATAAGGAAAAGCAAAAGTAACTTTTGAGTTTTGACCAAAATTTTCTACCCTAGACTTTTAGGCTTCATTCTCTCTTTTATTCTTGAGTTCGGCCCACCTTAGGACTAATTATGGAGTTATCCTGTTTTACTCATTATGATTTATTTAGGTAGGAAAAATAAAAGCTATGGGCTAGTATGGTTCTAGTTCAGCCCAGCCTATAAATCACAATAAAGAGAGGCATGTTCTTAGGCTCTAACTTCCAATGTGTTGCATATTATGGGCACATGTCATTTAATTGGTTCATTTTCAAATAGGATCACTACACATGCAGTTTATGATGGAATATCAATGGCCGAAGTTCAACATTTTTTACTTTTATATCTTTGTATTGACTTCTTTTTTCTTTTTGCAGCACATGGCTAAGCAACACTTACCAGGTTTGACTGATGAGTTAATGAAGAGAGGAAAACATTTCATACTCATCCGGAATCCCATTGAGATCTTGGTATCTTTTGTCTTTTCTTGTAGATGCTAATGAGTGCCCACATTGTTAAATAGTTGTATTCTTCATGTTGTGTCTTGAATTTCTTCATTTTTGGTAATTAGTACTTCTTTAAACTATCTATTCTTAAAGTTTTCTATGCTTAGCCTATCTTTTGAAATTACACTAATCGCAGCTCTATGCTATCTTGCTCATTTTAGCCCATATGAGTTTATCTATTTAACTGATCTACATTTCATGTGTTGTGTTGCCAGCCATCCTTTGATGAGCATGTCCCCTCATCCTTTCTTGAGTTAGGGCTAGGAGACCTTGTCTCTTTATACTCTGAGCTCTCCAGACTGGGAAAGCCTCCACCTGTCATTGATGCTGCAGATCTTCGAACTGATCCTGAGGTTTAGAGTTTTTTCATTAAGTCTCGTATATCTTCCATGTATTTTTCTTTTGCTTAAGCATTATGAAAGACTTGATGGCTGCTTCGTGTCGTGTGTGTTTGTAACATTCCTTCTTGGTTACTTATTGATTCAGTCAACTGAACTATACACTTTCCTTTTTTGTTCGTCACAAAATGAACTTTACACTCCTTGAAATCCTTTTTAGAAAATGAATACGTGGTTCATATTTCTTACTTCTAAACAAATTCCAACATCCACCTTTTACTTTTCAACACGTTTCTTAAACTCCATGAAGTCAAAGTGTTAGGATCTTTTTGAGACGGAGGGAGCATGTTATTTAAATGCTTTCCACTTCCATCCTATGACTATAAGTTCCAATTTATTTGAATATGGCACAACAGAAATGCTTTTGGTAATAGTTTTTTTGCAAGTTGCTGCTTATCCTTGTTGCAGGGCTTGGCGTGTATGAATATGATACGTCATCATAAAATGAGTATGTCATACACACACACACACACACACTCACACACTCACATACACACGCGCGTGCGCACTCACACACTCAGATACACAACCGCACACACACACGCTCCCGCTTGCGCATGCGCACACACAGGTGCGCGTGCGCGCACACACAGTCACACACACATATATACATATACATGGGCGTATTTTCAATGAGTTAAGTGTGCTGGCATGGGAGTAGCAAAAATGATGGATGACCCTTGAGAAGTAGATGCACACTTATGGGGCTGGGCTTTATATTGAGCTTACATTGGGCGTACTATAGTGGGTTATCCGCCTCGGGTTTCACGGGCCCCGAGTGGTCACAAGGTTAACGGGCCTTGGCCCCTTACTTGTAACGGACCGTTCAAATACACACACACACACATATATATACATATACATACATACATACATACTTATATATATGTATGTATGTATGTATGTATGGATGGATGGATGGATGGATGGATGGATGGATGGATGGATGGATGGATGGATGGATGGACGTATGGACGTATGGACGTATGGATGGATGGATGGATGGATGGATGGATCGCCAAGGCGGACTAGGCCACCAGTGTACCACCATAATATGAAAAGAAAAAAAGGAATATGAATTATGAAATACAAAAACAATATGTGACTTTTTAGTGCAAAGTAAATACTGAGTATAAAAAGAGTCATTGACTTGAAGGAGTGAATATACTTTATTTTTTCTTTCTCAGATACTTCTTCGTTCAACATGGTATCCGAGCCAGCTAGTTTTTTTCAGCAGACCAACACTCTAGAAAACAATTGTGTCTCAATAACCTCACTTATCATTTTGATCTCTCGCAGCAACCTGCGAACACACCTCCACACGTTACCACTACAGTAAACTCCAACCTTATGTGCAAGTGACTTTTTTATTAGTATGTCTTATCCATTGACCTGCGAGCAAGAGCGACATTGTAGCAATTTTTTCAGCCAGCTCAGTTTTCTTCTCCGACCTCATCTATACCATTAATATTGAGTCTGGATCCCGATGGGATCTATTGAAAACTCTAGTTCCAGCCTGGGTAGCAACAGTTTTTGCTCCAAGTTTCTCAGGAAGTATAACCCTTATGAAAAGCTATTAGGTTCTCAAGATTATAGTTCTTCGTCAGATGCAATCCAACATTCCAACTTTGGTTTATCGCTCAAGGCACTGCTGATCATTTGACAAAGAAAGCAAGAAGAGTCTATTTCGGAAGGGTTAATGCCCAGATGTGTAATACTGTAGCCTATTGTGGCTATCTCTTATCTAAGTTGATGCTTCTATTCAGGTCTTTCAAGACATGTAGATCAGTACGGAATCAAGCAATGCTGTTATACACCAATGGTGTGTTGCGATTTAAACAGCTTTAAAAAAGTAAGGATTTAGCATGGAACATTCCTTGGGAAAGTCCACGGACGTACGACTGAGTTTAACTCACTCGTGCTTTTGTGTACCACTCTAGAGGAACAAACTGTTCAGCATGTTGGTTTTTGTTAAGTTAGGCCCTGAGTTTTGGCAGTTTCAAG